GGGGAACTCGTAGCCCTTCAGGTATTGTCGACCTGTCCATCCTAGCGAGTATAGCCAATGGTGAAGGTTCATGCTAGTCACAGTCCAGTGTTGTGGAAAGTTCTCCTCATTGACTGGCCCTGTGAAGCATCATTCCACCCACTACCCATGCTTTTCAGAGCTTTCTATGGTCCTGGCCAAGCAAGTCTGATGTCTGGCCCATTTGATAAAAAGAAAGCAAGAAAAAGGCTATGTTGGTGTGGTGTGGTGTGTGTGTGTGTGTGTAAGAACATTTAATTTAGAATTTTTGTTGTTTTTATTTTCATTTTTGCGTGTGTGTGTGTGTGTGTGTAAAAGAATATTTAATTTAGAACTTTTGTTGTTTTTATTTTCATTTTTGGTCAAAAACGGAAATTGCTGCCCAATCTGATCATTTTGACTAATGAAGTATAATGTGGTGAGCCCTGAGAGAAGTAACGCAGGTCTTGTAAAATGTGGACTTTGGGTCTGGTCTGACAACGTATGAAACTGAGCGAAACAGGGGAAGGTTCTATTTAGCATTGCTCCAAGATGCTGACATTTCTTGAGGCAAAACAGCCAAAGAGTGCCTGAATTGATTATTCTATTTATAGCATCCTCATGCAGCTTTATGATAATGCTGTTCTCCTTTTATTGTAATGCTTTCTTCCTTTAAAACCAGTCTAGTGCTCTATGTAGTAGTTAAGCAGTTATGGATGCTACATTTCTTGAGGCAAAACAGCCAAAGAGTGCCTGAATTGGTTATTCTATTTATAGCATCCTCACGCAGCTTTATGGTAATGCTGCTCTCCTTTCATTGTAATGGTTTCTTCCTTTAAAACCAGTCTAGTGCCCTATGTAGTACAGTAGTTAAGCAGGTATGGATGCTGGGATTTCCTTGCATGAGACCCCTGTGACAACCTCATGTAAGAGGCAAAACAGCCAAAGAGTGCCTGAATTGGTTATTCTATTTATAGCATCCTCACGCAGCTTTATGGTAATGCTGCTCTCCTTTCATTGTAATGGTTTCTTCCTTTAAAACCAGTCTAGTGCCCTATGTAGTACAGTAGTTAAGCAGGTATGGATGCTGGGATTTCCTTGCATGAGACCCCTGTGACAACCTCATGTAAGAGCGATATAAATACATGTGTATCTCTGTTCAGAACTAAACTGAAACCAAACTATGTCACAGATGAAACAATCCAGCCATATCCCCCTCCCCATTGCAGATTCACTGGTCCTTTAATATCTTGGTCTATTCATTTCAAAAATTAGTATTGATCTGATGGGGGCACTTGTGAAATTGTATCTTATTGTTTTTATAGTTTTTTGTGTGATAGTAGGTTTATGTTGTATTAATAATTTTTTTAAAATTAGTATTTAAAGTTCTAGACACCACTTCCTGATTTCCTTTTTAAAGAATTGTCATTGTCAAGTTGTTCTGTTCTCTCCTTCTCTTTGCTAAAGTCTTTATTAATCTGTTATTGGGGGTGCACACACTTCTACTGTTGTCTTGCACATCTAAAAAATTTTTTGTCATTCGACTGAGTGAACCTCTTTAGATTTTCTTCTGTATTAAAAATCTATGGTTGCCATGGGATTATATAATTGATGAATAACAATTTAACAATAACAGGAATTATTGTTGTAGTGGTATGTATTTTGTAATGTTTTTCTTCTCTATGCCTTATCATAAAAATGCACGGAAGTAATTTCTATAAAAGGCTCCCTCCTGAAACTCTAATAAACTGACTCCAGGAGAAGAAAGGATCAAGTGTGAAGCACAGTGATCAGACAATGACTTAGTTTCATGTAAACATTATGAAGCTGTATTACTGTTTATAACACAGGAATGCTGGGATGTGACCTCCAGTGCAAATCCCATCAGGTCTAATAGGATTCATATACCTGTATTTGTCTCTCCTAAACTCAAAACATCTAGTGGTGCAAATATTAATATATAACTGAATATCTAACACTTCCTTATGTTAACTGATGCATCAGCATAAGCAGATATTTTGTTTTTAAATCTGAGATGTTTTCATGTTTGGGATGTTTAGGCTGCAAACATATGACTCCCTTACTGGGGGTAGATCACACACTGAACTCAGTGGGATTTAATTCTTTAAAATTGCACCGTTATTATGCTACACTAGTGTACATGCTTACTTCAGAGTAAGCCCTACTGAAAACAGTGTGGCTTACCTCTGAGTGACTGCTCTCTTGTGCCTTAATAGTATGGTATTTCATTTCCTGCCACCATTTTACTTTAATTCAGATGAAACCAACACATATGGCTTTTCAATAAAATTCTCAAAATAAAATAAAATCACAAAGTGTGAAATTTCAGAACATCACAGAACAGTTGATCTGAGTGCCTGCCTTATTGTTTATTTTAAGCCTTCACGTGAAGGACAGTCATCTGTAAAATAGAATCCATTGTTTATTTTATATGATATCATATCTTTCAATGTAAAATTGAGTTTTGCTGTTCCTAAGCAGAAATATGCTAGATCCAGAGCTTAGAATACAGTATGTCTGTAAGAGAAGCACAGCGAGGAAGCTCCTTTGAGTGTAACCTGTTTAGTATGATCAGATAACTACAGGGCCTTCTCTCTCCCTTTTCAAGGTTCTTTATTTTTAAATTGGCTTTGGACTGGGCTGCCCTTCAAATATGCCTCCAAGCAGACAGCCATCCTCTCTAAAGGAAGACCCATGACCATCCGATTTGCTTGCCCCTTGCCCCATCTTAACATTTCTGAAATGCTTGATGGGTAGCTGCTGTAACCTCAGGGTGGCTGCAACAGGGTCAATTTCACAGCTATTGCCAGTTAAACCACAAAGCAAAAGCTGCTTTCTCCTGTTTTGAAAACTACCAAGCTGTACTGCTAAATCAGTCACCTACCTAAAGGACAGAGAAAGGTATTGCTGTGAAGCATTCAAAGCAGCCTGTTTTCAGATGCACTTTGTGAACGGCAAAATAGACACAAAGGTGGTGTAGAAAATTCTAATCTGAAATCCTAGGACAATAAAGAGTAGAAAGTAGCTTTGTTTGGGTAGGGGGAGATGGCAGATATTCAAAATAAACTTGTAAAATCTATGATTCCTCCTCACCACTCATAAGAAACCTGTGTGGATTCTGAAAGGAATGGGATGTTATGAAGCTGTTGTTTAATGGCCTGACAAGGAAAGCTGTTTGTTGTCTCCCGGGGTGCTTGTCTTTTATTGTTGCATGTTAGTTCTGACAGAGCATTTGGCACTTATTCTACCTTCCGCAGTTTGGTACCCTCCTAATGGGTTGGGCTGCAACTTCCACCAGGTCGGGAAGCTGCAGTAGATAGTCAAGAGAGCGTTATCCTCTGCTTTCACAATGAGATGTGAAAAGATGTCAAGGGCCACAATGAAATGAAGAGTGCTGTTGGGGAGGAGGTGGATTCCAATGGGCGATGGAAGCAAGGGCAAAACAGTTAGAGCCAAGCAGTAGCACATTTTAAATTAAAGCCCCTACTTACGGTGACCAGATGAAAAAGAGAACCAGGTTCCTGTACTTCTAGTAGCTGCATGGAGGAGGACATTTCAGTAGGTGTAGCTTGCATGAAATTTCCTCTTCTGAGCAACTATTTGTTTTCTTTCTTTCTTTTTTTATTATTCCCAACATAGAAAGTCAAGTGACAGCATAATAGTAGTAGAAACATTCATGTAAGTACAGAACATGTCTGGAGTAAAACTTACTGCTGGTGGAATTTTGGTACATGTTTGAGTTTAGAACATATCCCATCAGGCAGTCTGCTTGTGGTTTGAATCCCCTTGTGGATTCCATAATGTATTTAATGAAGGGGTTATAGTCTAAGATCATGAGCTGATTTTTTCTTTTGCCAGAGTTGCCTGTTGTATTCTCTTCAACCTGTTCTCTGTTAACCCCTCCAGAGCCCTCCATCACACTGCTGTTTCTAGCCACATTTCCAACATGAGGAAGGATATAAATTGCTTGTGGAACAGGCAGTCATTAGGATCTATACAAATAGATAATATATAGAAAGGCCCACAAAACTCAATATTTTGGTTAGTTATTTTTTGAAATATGATGACCCACTCCCCTCCAAAACACTTTCTTTTTGGGGCACTTCTATAGATGAGTTAATTTTTCTCTCTGGCCTCAGCCTGTCCAGTAGGAGAAATTTGCATATTCATTTTAGATGCCCAGACAGAACTCAAGGGACATCTCATGAAACCGCCCAGAGCAGACCCGTTCTAGATGGGTGGGATATAAATCTAATAAATAAACATAAATAAATGATTGTTTTAAAAGGATTCTCCTTTATTTGGGCCAAAACTCTTTTAAGCATCTATTGAAGCTACAGCAACACTCTCCTTTCTCAATTCTTGCAGTCTTATTCCTCCTCCTAGTAATTTAGTCCTAGGAGAGGCACTCCACATTTTTAGGAGGAGGAGAAGCAGTATGAAAGCCAGAAAACCACAGAATAAAGAAAGGGGGTTGTTCATCTAAGCCTTCTAAGGAATCCTAGGGAGGTGGTTTTGTTCTGAGGAGGGTTTGGTTTGGTTTGGTCCCAAAGTCTGAAGACTCCCACCCCTCACAATAGTGTCTATCTGATATATAAATAACAATAACCATGTGCTGTCAAGTCAGTTCTGATTTATGGTGACCCGGTTTTATAGGTAGAGAACACTCAAAAGTGGTTTACCATTCCCTTCTTCTGAGGGCATCCTGGAACTGTGCAGCTTGCCCAAGTGCACATAGGCTGGCTCTACTTGTAGGAGGCATAGCAAAGAATCGAACTCCCAGCCTCTGGCTCTTTAGCCAGATGCCTAAACCAGCCAGTTACCTGATATAGGTCTGATATAACGAATTGCTTGAGGTTAGATGTTCCAAAAGGCGTAAGCACATGTTTGCGTTGCCAATAATATTGGCCAAGCTGGGCTGTGTGTGAGCACAACATGACTCTTTTCCATTCCTTCTGCTCAATTTTTTTTTATCTCAACAGCTTCTGAGCGCTCCATCTGCCCGTCATTAGATGAGGCATCCCCCTTCTCAGTGCCCTTGAAACCCTATGCATGGAGCAGCCTAGGACGTTCTGAACTGAGACATTTGGTGCAGACCTACAGGCCTTGCCAGGCTCTAGAACGTAGCTCATCCCTTGCTCTCTTCTGCGAGCGGAGATCCGAGTCTAATCTTTTTGGATCAGAGCGAAGCTCTGCACTGGGACTCTATGGTGACTTTGGTTCTCCTGGATTCTTTGAGCGACCAGCAGCAGGTCCTGGGATCTATGTGGAGGCCCCATCTGGACTTCAACAGGAGAAGAATGCAAGTGGCATCAAACTGGAATCAGACCTTCTCTGTCGCCCTCTTTTGCTAAGCACTGGTTCCTACAAGTGTGTCAAATGCAGCAAGGTATGGACAAACTTTGCAGTATGGACCTTTGAGTTGTTTGTTTGTTTGTTACATTTATAACTTGGACAAACTTTGCAGTATGGACCTTTGAGCTGTCTGTTTGTTTGTTTGTTTGTTACATTTATAACCCACCTTTCTCCAGTGAAGTCAGGGTGGTGTGCAATATTCTCCTTTCCCCCCATTTGTTGTAAAAACAATCTGTGCAATAGGTCAGGCCAAGAAAGTAACACTGGATCACAGTTGCTTAGTGAAATTTATGACTGCCAAAGGATTTGTATCCAGGTCTCTGGAGTCTTAATCCAACGCTCCAACCATTACCTCTTATATGATTTATTTGTGTCTTCTATATCCTCCTCTGGACCATTCAGCCAAATTCAGTAGGGATAGCAAGATCAAGGAGCAAGACCTAGGCAAATAATGGTCAAAGGCGACCGGTTAAAATAGAGACTCATGTAAGATAAACTAACTTGGTCAAGTCTCTGAAGGAATGGTGACATCAGACCATGTTACACAACTCACCCTGGCAAGCTGTTCATTGTGGGTGTTAAAGAACTTAAAAAGAGACCACCCAGCTCAGGCCAAAAGCCTATCTAGCCTTGCATCCTGTTTACCACAATGACATCGAGAAATGCACAAGCAGAATGAGAGAATAATGTCTCTGTTGAGTCTCAGGAACTGATACTGAGATACATGCTACCTCTTATCTTGGAGTAAAATAGCCATCCATGAGGACTGGTGGCTCCCAACAGCCTCTTGCAAGTTTGGTTGATTTCCTTCTGTGTAGAGTTATCAATAGTTTGGTAACCTTTCTGAAAAGACTCAAAGATGTTCATGGTTTTTAACTGTTTGACTTAATTATTTCATTAATTTATTACTTAAAAAAACATTGCTATAGGGCTCTCAGGGCCTTAAGAGTGGCTTCCAACAATGAATGCCAAAATAAAAACATCATTACAAAATGAGAAAATGATTTGGCCCTGAATCATCCTGTTCTTTCTCCCTTTTTTCCTTCTCAGGTCTTCTCCACTCCACACGGGCTGGAGGTGCATGTCCGCCGCTCACACAGTGGCACCAGGCCCTTTGCTTGTGAACTGTGCGGCAAAACATTTGGCCATGCCGTTAGCCTGGAGCAACACAAAGCTGTACATTCGCAGGTGAGAATCTTGCGGGAACATTGTGAGGGAAGGGAGTGATGGACGAATCCATAGGAGACTCCCAGGTGTGGCATTGAATATGCACACCTGGGGATTAAGCCCAAGTGGCTGCTCATACTGCACAATGGTAGCTGAATAATCAGAAGGAGATCCACCGAAGGGCCAAATTAGGGTTTCTTCCTGTTTCTCATTTCCCTGGGAAGGCTAGCAGAAATCCCTTTCTATGGCAGAATTCCACATAGCCAAAATGTTTGTACAAGTATTCCTCCAAAATTAGTTATACCATGCTGATCATTTAGAGCCTGTCTGTGAGCTACATGGTCTGGGTCACTACTGATGCTAGTCTGAAGACTCCCTCTGTCAGTCTTACCCAAAGTGATGCCCTCTAGGGGTGTTGGGCTACAGTTTCTACTGTGTTTTCCTGAAAATAAGACAGGGTCTAATATTAATTTTTGCTCAAAAAATGCATTAGGGCTTATTTTCAGGGGATGTTTTCTTTTACAGTCATGTCATCTTCTTCTGGTTGCTGCACAATGGCGGAGGGCAGGGTTGCACTTAACTGGGGCTTATTTTTGGGGTAGATCTTATATTACATCATACTTGGGCTTATTTTCAGGTTAGGTCTTATTTTTGGGGAAACAGGGTATCATGGCTGGGAATAATGGAGTTTATATTCCCACGCATCTGTGGCGCACCAGATTGGACAAAGCTGTTTTCTGTGATCAGGCGGTGCCTGTCTTTAAGAACCTTCAACTGGAAGGTCACCAGGGGGACGTTGAAGAAATCCTAATTAGAGATGGGGGTATTCGTATACGAATATCACCCCTCCAGGTGGAAATAACAAGGGTCCATTCACCATTCCACCACTGATGCCAGCTCGATGGAGCCTTCCTATCACAACATTGTCTGCAATGGATTAGTCACTTTGCAACCTGGCAGAGAGGCTTGTCATCCCGCCTCCTGCCAGGAGTGTCTGGTTATTTCCTCGTTATTTCCACCTGTGGAATATAACCCTCGTTATTTCCACCTGTGGGGGGATATTTGTATTCGTATATGAATACAAACATCTCCATCTCTAATCCTAATGGTTAATTTCTAACTATTCTGTACCATACACATTTGGTTGATTCAGGGCAAGTTCAAGTACAAATTCTGATCTTATATGGCTTCCCACAAAGGCTGTAAGCTGAAGTCCTTGTTCTCTTTCCCTATAGAATAACTCTAGCTGTTGTGTGAATTTGGAGCTTAGTTGTATGAAGTAACTCTTACTGGCTCAGTCTGTGAGAACTTTCTAACTGAATAAGACTGAGCCCATTCAATATTTTTAAGATCAGAGTGCAAAACACTTATGGTGGGATGAGTTAAATTATTTAGAGAAATATTTTCAGTTAACATTTTTAACTAATACTAATATTTTTAACTAAAAATATTTATCTGAATAAGCACATGCTTCAATGTAATGACTGAAATCCTATTATGTTTTTACACTGGCATAATGCTATTGGCATTAATCTCCTGGACAAATTATTAATAATTAAGAGGTCAGTATAAGCAATTGCTGTTCCACAAGTCAGCACACAACAGCATAGGTCCTATAGTGACTTATTAACATGTGGTCACCGAAGAGATTTACACCGATTGTGTTACACTGATGAGCATGACTACCATGTTCCCCAGAAAATAAGATAGGGTCTTATATTAATTTTTGCTCCAAAACATGCATTAGGGCTTATTTTCTGGGGATGCTTTAGTTTTTTCATCTATGTTTACTCAAATATAGTCATGCCATCTCCTGGTTGCTACACAATGCTGCACAGTGGTGGAGGGCAGGGTTTGACTTAACTAGGGTTTATTTTGGGGATAGGGCTTATATTACGAACATCTTGAAAAATCATACTAGGGCTTATTTTTAGGTTAGGTCTTATTTTCGGGGAAACAGGGTAATAGCATTTGGGCCAATGATCACATCTGGGGAAAGCATTACTAATTCCAGGTGTGCTTGGGGGTCTTAATGGAGGGGTGGACTCAAGTAACAAGTCAGACAAAACAGCTGTACCACTTAGAAATACAAGAAGGGGAGAACATCAAAAGCAAATCATATGGGAACTTGGTTGAATGATCAGGAATTCTTAGAAATATTAAGAGGTCCAGAAAATGATATTTTCATACCCAAGAAGGTTTTTTGTGGCTTTGCTTAGAGTCCAAAAGTGACAACTTTCAAATAAATGAAACTGATTTTCACTTAAACTAGTTCACCCTTGATTTAATACTGTAATCACCCACCACTTCCATTTGCAGAGCTTAGACGTTTTACTTTGGGGATTTAAATCAGCGTGCTGTCTGGAGGATTCTGGGAGCTGTAATAAAAAAGTAACTTTGTAAAATTTTGCCCCTGCATACCTTTGAAAAACTCCCCTGTTAGTTTTAAAGGTTGTGAACATGTTGGGAAATAACTCGTGGTAATTAGAGAAAGTAAGAAACTGACTTACTTGGTACTTCGATTTATTTCCTAGAGAGCTCTGGTGAAACATCCCTAAACCACAGCAAAGAACATGAAGTACCTCTCCAGTACTTCAAAACTGAGGACTCCATCAGTTGGACTCGTGGCAGTTAAAGCAGTATCCAGTTGCTATGATTGTGTAGTGCAGGCCAGACATGGACATTATAGATAATGGAAAGCATGTTGATGTTGGAGAGAAACAATTAAGGCAAGCCTTTCAGGTCTGTGAAATCAGACTTCAGAGGAACCCCAGGTTTAAGTCCTGAAGTTCAATCACCAAATAAAGCAAGCTAATTTGCACACTCCTATAGCAGAAAGAAGCAGTCTGTTTCTAATTCCATGGTGATCAAGTAAGTTTCAGATCATGTCCATTACTGGCAAATGGACAGGGGATGTTTCCCTGTGTTCATAGTTCACTCAGTTTAGTGTATTCTGACTAGTGATTTCCTGGTAGAGCCACTGTGTGTAGTTACAGCCTGTGCAATTGGAGCAGTAAAATCAGTGCTACCGTGCACTAAACAAACAAATGAATCCTCCCCAACAAGAGCTCCAGTAAAATAATGCCAAACCAGAGGCTTCCATACAGATAATTTTCTCCTAAACTAGCATGTGTTCACCCGGTTTTGCTGAGAATAGAGTTTTTCTATATAGAAATCAGCGTTAATGGCAGTAAAATGATGTCCATCTCTTGCAACTGATGACTGACATGTTAATGGCTTGTCGGAAGCACACCAGTGTTTTGGTATAGAAACCAGGAAAATGGAGTGTCTGCCTGAAAAAAATGGGTTAGAAGTTGGGGCTTGCTATTTCAGGGGGATCGGGGAGAAGTAGCTCTCAGATATTTTCTTTTTTTGGACTACAGCTTCCAGAATCCCCATACCAGTATAGGCATGAGTCCAAACAGTGATTGATCCAGATGTATAGCTCTGTGCCTCATGCAACAAACTGAAACCTGTTTCTTTTTCCTTACCCCCTGCAGGAGCGCAGCTTTGATTGTAAGATCTGTGGGAAAAGCTTCAAGCGATCCTCTACCTTGTCCACTCACCTACTCATCCACTCAGACACCCGGCCTTATCCGTGTCAGTACTGCGGGAAGAGGTTCCACCAGAAATCGGACATGAAGAAGCACACTTTCATCCACACAGGTGAGCCCTGTATTCTTGTAGCCTGCTGGGAATTGTAGATGCTGCTATGGCTTAAAATGGGCACTTCTATGCTTTGAGCACTGCTTCCTCATTTTCATCTGGAAAAGGCCACAGGAAAGACCAGACAAAATGGGGGACAAATAAGAATGATTTGAACTTGATCTTTAAAATAATACTTTAGTAACTTGCAATATTATAAATGTTTCATACAGAGAATGTAGAAGAGTATGTTTTTGGACAACAACTTCTGGAGTCCGCCTGGGGATTCTGGAAGTTGTATTCCTTAAAAGTTACTTTCCCAAATTCTGCCTATATGCCATTCTTCTACAGCAGTGGTTACCACCCTTGAGTAACCCAGGTGTTCTTGAACTGCAACTCCCAGAAACCCCAGCCAGCACAACTGATGGTGAAGGATTCTGGGAATTGCAGTCCAAGAACACCTGCATTACCCAAGGTTGGGAACTACTCAGTGACTTACCAGGGATTCTCCATAAGCTTTGTTCTTGCTTGGGCCCTGCAGCTTTACCATCAGTGAGTGCCCCAACCTGTTTGCTAGACTCAGATCTGGTTATATAGAAAGTTGAGATGCTGCCTGGAGATGTATGGGAGTTGTAGTCCAAAAACACAAATCCACACATCTCTAATACAAAGCATTTGTTCACTAACTCAGTGGTTCTCAAACTGAAGTCTCCAGATGTTCTTGGACTGCAATTCCCAGAAACCTTCACCACTTGCTGTGCTGGCCAGGATTTCTGAAATTTGCAGTTCAAGAACATCTGGTGACCCATGTTTGAGGACCACTGCAACTGACGTACTTAAAATTCTAATTAGTAATGCTTGAATCAACTTCCCTCTGAACTTTGTTGTGCGTAATGTTTTGTGTCATGATTCCAGAGATGGGAGATGTGGGTTTTTTGTACTACATCTCGCAGAGTTCTACAGCTATCATAGGCCATGCTGCTGGTAGGAGTCTGGAGATTATAGTCCAAACAAGTCACTTTTTCTGTCTTTGCATAATTATTGTGTGCCAACAATTAGATCCTGGATCCTGGGTGGTAAATGTAACTGCACCATCTCTTCCTGTCCCATGTTACCAGTTTATAACAGTGGTATCAACAGTCAGAATAATAACTTCCTTTAGATTAAACAGGAAGCTGGAAGATTAAGATCCCAACTGTAAGCCTCAATGTTTGATAGTAAACTAGCTGTTTATTGAGCTCTTCCAAAGAAAAGGCTTTAGGGCTATTTGTAATGCCAGGCAAGGAACGGTGATCTCAAGTTTGATTGTTAAGTGTGATGAACAATAAACTAATAAAATGCAAAGGCATAACCAGCAGAAATTGTTAGGAGGAAAACAGTTTTATAGATGTTAGTGGCCATTTTTCACTGATGTCATCCCAACCAGCATCTTTCTTGTCTTGACCACTTGAAGGATACATTATGCAGATACCCAACCTCAGATAAATAATTGGATGAAAGTTGTATGCTGGAGTGTGGAGAGTATAGCTCTTCACACGTTGTTAGATTGCAACTCCCATCAGTCCCAGCTAGCACACTGAATGGTGAATGTCAATGGGACTTGTAGTCAGAAGGGTTCATGTTCTCCATTCCTGCTCAGCCCTTTTAAAAGGCTGTTATGGAAAAATGTTACCTGATGTGTCTTATCTCCTGCAAAATGCAGTTGTTGGTCCTGCTAACCCAGCGTGTCCATTGCTTTTGTTAATTTTCCATGTGGAATCTGATTTTATTTCTGTTACCAGTTCCCAATGAAAACTGTCCACATTTTCTTCCCACCCCTGCCCATGCCTGCCTCATTAATTAATGCGTTTTAGAAAACCAAGCACTTGGCACAAGGTAGTGTCAATCCAATGTAGCTTTTAAGTGTGTAAAGCTAGATGCTTCTTGTGCTATCACTGTAATTAAATAGGACCATTAATTCTCCAGGGAGCAGTAGCATTGCCACTTTGGAGAGGGCAGCAAGATAGTGAAATCAAAAGAAAAGACATGTGTGGTTGGGAAGGGGAGGATGAAACTGGGATTTTGAAGCAATATCCTTTCATCTTTCCAACTCATTTACTGCCCAAGTGTCAAGGATGGTAGCTTCCTTCCTACCCTTTGGAACTGGACTCAGTGGCCCTGCAGGGTCCCTTTGAACTCTATCCTTTTGTGATTCGGACAGCCCTAACATTAGGCAAGTGACATTGGCTGCATTTTGAATGCCTTGAAAAGCAACCAATTACAGTATTAGTTATTGATATATCCTTGTATCTTTACTGCCAGAAAGAACCAAAAAAGGATTGTGATATTTTCTAGTGTCCAAACAACTGAACTGGTGGAAGGTACAAAGTGGCTTTTTATTGGAGAAGGTGGGGCATTTGGTGCTCTGGCTCAGGTGGCAAAATGATTATGCTGAGCATTCAAGCTATACACTCAGACGAAGAGGGGGAAATGTGTTTAAACTAGAAAGGCAAGAATAGTCCTGCTGCAATGAGAAGTGGCCATCCCCGAACCACACAAGATAGCACTGAAGCTGTATTCATCTGAGGAGGAGTTGAACAGCAGGGACAAGGAAACTCCAGACCGAAGAGCCACATTGGACCTACCGGACCTGCCTGTGTGGCCTATTGAGGCTCTTCTTTGGAACTCTCGACCCCACCCCAAAGGGTCCTTCACCCTGGCAATGAAGAAAAGAGCTGGGTCTCTTCCTGCCCTGCTAGATTGGTCATTCTATTTGGAGAGAATGAGGCCCACAGGGAGATTTCTGCGACCTTCTTCTTTGAAGGCTCTCAGGCAATGCTTTAGGGACAGGATTAGGTAGCTAAACCTAAATCCACGAGTTGATTTAAATCTGTTTAGCTTCCTGCAGTAGACAAAAACATCTACCCTTTTGATAAATCTAAGGATTGGAAGTCCTCCTGCTCAGATGGGTGCCATCCAAAAAAGTGTGTATCCAATTTTGTTCATGGGTCACACAGCTAGATAGGGGTATTTGTTTGTTTGTTTGCTTTTTTGTTCATTCTCTCTCTAATGCTGCAGTCCAAAGGGGAACGCAGAGGAGCAGAGAGAAATGAGCAAGAGCAGCTCTTTCATAAGGGATAGGAGTGATGGACATGCATAAAAAGAAAATCCACCCAAAGGGGTACAGAAATAACTAAGAACTCTAGGTTGTCTGCAGTTCCAGTTAAGGTTAAAATTACCTATCTGTAGGCCAATAGGATTAAAATAACACATTGTTGCATATACCTTATTTAATATAATAAATATAAACATAATCACAACTAAAAATAACCACGGTGACCCTCCAGAAAAGACTTCATGACCTCCTTGGGGGTCCTGACCCCCAGACTGGGAATCGGTGCTGTAAGAGATAAGTCACTCTCTCCTTTTTTTTTGTTAGAATGCTGCATTTATTGAATTTAGGGATTTTTAAATGTTTAAAAAATATTTTTAAAGGTTCTTTTAATTGTGGTTTTTGCAATGTTACATGTTATAATGCTTAAATTGTGCTGTTTTAACTGATTGAGAGTTGCCTTGCGTCCCTTAGAAGGACAAAAATATATATACAGTATAAATAAAATAAAGGGGGAAACGAAATAAAATAGAGCAGCTGCACATGGGCTATTTGCATCTCCAAATTAGACGGGTAATACTTCATTGTTTAATTGTTTGTCCATCCTCAGGTGAGAAGCCCCACAAGTGCCAGGTGTGTGGCAAAGCTTTCAGCCAGAGTTCCAACCTTATCACCCACAGTCGGAAGCACACCGGCTTCAAGCCCTTTGGCTGTGACCTGTGTGGCAAAGGCTTCCAGAGAAAGGTGGATTTGCGGAGACACCGGGAGATGCAACACGGTCTGAAATGAGAGATGTGCAGCATTTTGGCGGGGGGGGGGAGAGAGAGAGACAATAAAACACTATGTCCACAGAATCCCTCTTGCTCCCAGAGGCCCCGCCTCTTCCTGCCCCCTCACTCTGCCTCTCTGCACTGTTCCTTCGGCCCACTTCCTGCCACACCCTCACTAAACAGGAAGTCCCAGCAGGCTTGCTGGCATTTTGCAGAACTTGATTAAAATGTCATGGGATGAAAATGGAATGCTTTGGCTGAAGGGAGGTGGAGCGAGGCCTCTCCTTTCCCCCATTTCTCTTTAAAATTAAACACTGAAAGGGAAAAAAAATCATACATGCCCCCCCCCACGTTGAAGTCATGAGGCCCTATAAGGATAAGCTATGTGGTACCTATGAAGCAGAAAGTGTCCCTTCCCCTTGAATTCCCCAGTTAACCTTGATTGTCTGAAAATTAATTTTCTGGGAAACCTGAATTACATGGTAAACACACTGAGTAACATAAAACATGTGTAATGTCTTTATTTTGCACCATGTAATTGATTTCATTAAGTATTTTCTGCCTGGGAATGTTTTCAGAGTCAATAGAGCTCTGATTTTGTCTTTCTCTTTATAATACAGAGATGAGCAGGACCAAGTCTGGAAAAAAAAAAAAAGAATGGTCAAAATGTTCCCAAATCTGTTGCTAACCGTGGTGTTCGGTCTTGAATTCAGTCGTTTGCACATTACCTGGTATCTATCTGGCCATAAAGGGCAATTTGGGAAATGAAACATCAGAAGCAATATTCTAAAAGTACACACAGGATCTTAATGACTTCCCAAACCATAGCCTGGAAGTGGAATGCTTGGGCCTTTCATTCATGTATGACATGGAGAAATGTCTTCTCTCATGATAGCACTGCAGAGATTAGGAGAGGCTCTATGCATGTGACAGAGCTCGAACCCTCAATCGTGGCCCCCTTCTGCTACTCTTACCAAGCATACATTATGCAAGTGTGTGCCACAAAGAACAGTAAACATTTTGAACTTCTCTTTGAAAGGCAGGTGTTAAATCATAGGAGGCATTGAGTCAGACACCTCTTATACTTTGGTGGGAATTCTCAGGGAAGGAACCATAATTGCCTTCTCAAAATTAAGGCCAGAAGAAACTCCTCCCAAGTCCCTTCACAGGCTTCCATCCATCCAGGTGGTCCTGGACTCCATTTTTAGCACTGTCGGATACTGTGGTACCTCTTAGGCATTTATTTTCTGTTGAAGTGTATTATATGGAATAAATGGGGCCTGGTTATGGTTGCTAGGTTACAGACTGCCTTACTTGCATAGTTTTGGTCTTGAGTTGCAACCCTTCCTCCCTGCCATTGCCAGCATAACCCTGTCCAGTTTGAGTCAGGACCCTGGTGTGATTTATTGGGGGCTTTAACCACTTGCTCCAATCTGGACCAGAGAGCCTGATGCCTGCAATTGTGCATTACCAGGAAAGGTGCTGTTAAAATGATGGAGACTTTCTTATTAATTTAAACTGCAGCTGTTATCCCAACCCTTCCTGATGATTCAGACTGGGACTACAGCAGCAGGAGGAAAATCCTCCACCACTGTTACACTATGTTATGATCTTAATTGGGAGTCCTTCACTGGCAGTTTCTGAGAGAGAGAGAAAAACCTTAAACACCTCAGGACTTATTCACGTAAGCTAAAGCCAGGACCATTCCCATAACTTTCCTCTACACCTGCTCAGATCTAGACAGCTTCAGCATGTCACCATGTTCATTCCTTTAACAATAACTTCCCAAGCCCTGCATGCATGTGCATATGTGCACATGGTCTTTACTCTGCATCTACTGGGAAGGCAACTTCCAACAAGGAGCTGAAAAGGAAGAGTGTGGAACATAAAGCAAGTTATGCCTTCTTATTTAGACACTGATATGGTTTCCTCTTGAATGCAAAAGGGCCAAACTAAGGGAAAGAGACTCCTTCAATGTTTAATAATGAGTAGACGAGACATAGCCAATGTGCTTCTGATACACTGGTTTGAATAGTAGGGCTCTTTGCTCTGAAATGGCCCTGTGCCTGGAAGGACCCAGGAACTGGTGTGTATTTATAGTACAGATTTGCCTTAACTAATCCTCTGCATACCTCATTGGGGGGAAATAATATGTATGTACTTTATAGGTAAGATTGTAAAAGCCTATTTAGATTTTACAGTGTGACATATGTTCGCTGACATGTATTTATTGGAAAATTGTTTTAAATTAATAAAGTACTGAGGATGCTCAGGAGTGGTATTTATTTCAACATAATGTGTTAGTGAAACTAGTATTGTGACCTTGAAGGGAAACTAGACACATGTTTCAGCTCCCAGTGATATAGAGGCAGAACTTAGAAAAGCTATGATTGTGGGTGTTTTCATCCCGAAAGAGTATTTCCCATCCCAACTTTGTGTTGGGGGCTACAGCACATAGCATTCTAGAAAGTTGGTGAAAGGAGGAACCTCTGCATTTGCTAACCCAGTTGCAAATACAGGGTCAGAGTAGACATGCAGAGGCCCTAAAGTAGGTCAGATTTAAGATAACAGAACCATAACATAATATGACCAAAATGTGTATCATTCTTCTATGTAACAGCTGAAATTAGGGAAGGGAGAGTTTTATTAGAGATCCTCATGAGGTGGGCCATAAAGCGAGTTTATTTTGCTTACACGGGGCATTCTGTGCACATCTACATGTGGAAATAATATAGGAATCATAGCCATTTCCCGCCACAACATCTCCATAACCACAATGTAAATTGTGAATTCATCTCTTTATCATGCAGGCAAGAATCTAGAATGTTTGACGGGGCATGATAGCTGATGTGGGTTTGCCACAATGAAGAGGCAAAAAGAATAGATGTTTGAATGCAAATTTTCAAACAGTGGAAAGAAGGTGGGAACGTCTGAATGTAACCATCAAGGAATCAGAACAAATTATTAAGACTGTTACAGTGTGAAATTTGAAGATCACAAATATCTTTCTTAGTGCCATTACTTAGTTGAATTAAAAATGCATTGTGTATATTATGTGACTCATTATTCATGAAGCAGGTTCCGTACCTTTTGTCTGCCAGAGTAACTGAAGGAAAGGTAACAGGAGACAGCGTGGTGCACACCTTTGTTTCTCTTGCTGAATTTTTAATAACACCTCCAGCCAGCCAGTTGGTGAAGCCCAAGGCCCATAAAAGAGTGGAAAAGCAGAGCTATATCAGAAAGACTAACCCTTTCAGAAGCTAATTTGAGCTTGTGTTCATTCACGCCAGTGATGATTAAATTACCTATCAAGTGTGCCGAGCTATCATGATTCAGGACTTTGAAAAACAAGGTGGATTTCACCTGATTTATTTAAAGTACCTAGGGGTGGAGGAACAGATGAACCAAGGAAAGATGCAACAAAGAAGCAACCCCTTGCTTGGTCACATTGTATTTTGTGTTTGGCGGAACAGATATTGGCTTTAATATTTTGGAATTGTCCAAAAATTAATTCATTTTCCCTCTTTTCCCCCTACACTTAAGAGGAGTTCTGAGTGGCAAGGTAGATTAGGTTAAGCCAGCCTTTCCCAACCTACTATCTTCCAGATATGTTGGACTAAAGTTCCTATTAGAGATACCCAGTGTGGTGCGATTGCTAGAGTCACCAACGAGGACTGAGGAGGCCCGGGTTTGAATCACTGCTCAGCCATGGAAACTCATTTGGGGTGTGGAACTGATAAAATCACTCCTTAAATATCTCACTGACCTTGAAAGGCCTGTTAGGTTCTGACTCGAAGGCACATAACAACAAAGTTTCTATGAGCCATGCCACTGGGGAGAGCTCCATTAGGATGAGAATTGAAAGATAAAACTCAGTGAGAGTTCACTGTTAAGTGAGGAACTGAACCCATGTATCTATGACTACAGTCCATCACAACACAAAATTCAGGAGCATCATCTAATGGGTATTACTGAAATGCATCTAGAGAGAACCTGATTAGAACAGTGTTGGGGTCAGGAGGCTGTTCAGCCCCCATCTTCTCTACTTATTTTCCCTATCAAAGCAAAGTGATCCTAGCTGCTTTTTTAAACATGTGGGAAAGATATAGGGGCTGTGTCTAGCTACTAGCCAACTGTTCATCCACGTATTGGGAGAGAGAACAGATTAAGTGTAAAGCAGTGGGAAGCAGAAGCTGAACCTCTTGGCATCTCGTCCGGGTTGGCCTTCTGTTCCTCTGATGAATCTTTATCACACCTGCTCATTATACACTTATAAAATATATGGAGAGCAAATATCAAGCTGGAGGGGGAAAAGTCTGCATCTATAAAAATGTGTGGCACGCCTCCTGTGGAGACATTTAATGTCCATTGCCTAACAAAGATTAACTTGCTCATAAAAAAAATCAGAAAAAGTAAGGGACCTTTGAATGGGCATGTTCTCATCTTTCTTCAACACAATAAGAAGAGAGAAGGGGAAATGTTAAGAATGAAAGAATTTGCTAGTTTACAGATTTGAATTTTTTCTTGATGTCATTTTTTAGTCCCCAGAGAAAGGTTAGTAGGCACTTTTTGGGTGCATCTGAACTCTCCACTGCCCAGATGTTAACTCTCTCGCCCCAACATTGCCTTCACTGAGTGCTGTAATGGGAATCAAATGGGATAACTTATCTAGCCTAACTTGGGGATGGGGAGAGGGGATGGGTTGCATCTGGTTTGTCACCTATGCTATTCAGCCTGAAGCGAGGCAGTACAGTACTCGGTGTTCTCTTACATTGGCTTTTATCTTGACATTGAGTAACACAATCAAGGCCGCTGAACAGATTGCTGGAAAGTACACATTTTGTCAAAGCTTCACCTTGTTTTTATCCTGGCCCATTTTTCAGCTTTGCTGCTAGTGCCATGCTTTTGTTTGCCTCTTGGCCCTCAATATCCTTAGCCACATTTCACACACGTCGCTGCTGGATCCAGTAATCAATAGAGGCACTGATGAGAGACTCACAGGACTTTCGTTCATGATGTCATAAGGTGAAAGCATATATGTTGTCAAAGCTCATTGGCTCAGAATAGAGGTGGCACCAAGTGGGGTGGAGGGCAAAGAAGATGAAGGAAAACACCCGTACAGGATTACAGCATGGAACCTGAATATTCAACAGGTGTCAACAATTTAAATGCTCATGAAGGCACTGATGAGAGACTCACAGGACTTTCGTTCATGATGTCATAAGGTGAAAGCATATATGTTGTCAAAGCTCATTGGCTCAGAATAGAGGTGGCACCAAGTGGGGTGGAGGGCAAAGAAGATGAAGGAAAACACCCGTACAGGATTACAGCATGGAACCTGAATATTCAACAGGTGTCAACAATTTAAATGCTCATGAATTTATTTATTTATTATTTGATTTATACCCCGCCCATCTAGTCTAAAAGACCACTCTAGGCGGCTTCCAATATAATAAAAACAGTGAAATAATACAAAAAACACAATTACATAAATCATATTGTAATAAACAGAATACAACAATAGAATAGAAAATACATAAGGAGAGAATAAACAGAAAAGTCAGATATTAACTGGAGGGAAGG